AAGAAAGAAAGAAAGAAAGAAAGAAAGAAAGAAAGAAAGAAAAAGAAGAAAAGGACTCCAAAATTCATTTGATATGGTGGACAATGTCTGTAATGGTCAGACCATTTTTACATTAATTCTCAGGAACACTTGAGAAATGGGCTGCCTTGTAATGAGATGTTGACACTGTCCCTTTATTTCAACATCATTGAAGTATTCAAAACAAATGGGAAGTAACATAATACATTCAGAATTTGTTTATGAACTTAAAGGCTGAAAATTAAACTGAGGGGAAAACACAGTGATTAGGAAACATGATTTACATTGAGAACACCCTCCCCACACACACACACCCATAATGCAACTCTTTTGGATATCCAATTTATCTTGGTAATATATAAATATTACACTCCTGGCAAGAGATTGAAAGACTCTATTATGTTGGGGGTGATTGCAGTCCCTCAGAAGCATTTGCATAAAAACACTGCTGGCCAGTGGTAAATCTGCCTCTCCGGGCAGTTTGTCTTCAGAAAGAAGAGCCTACACGACTAAATATAATTAAAGCCCAGTAATCATCGTGCTGGAACTCTTTAGTGCCAGTTAAAATATAGGATAGGAGTCTCAAACCTGGGGCCTTGCCAGAGGTCCCTAGAAACCTGCTGAGCTCAGGGCTCTCTTCCCACCATGAATGCCTCCGGACTGGCTCAGAACAGTGGATGTCTTCAAGCCCAGTTTGCCCATTATGCAGGAATGCAGGGCTGCTTTCAGGGACAGAGACAAGAGCAGCACTGGTCCCAAATACTGAAGACCTGCTTGATACCCTCACTGCCTGCAGGTTGTTCAATGAACAGTTCTTTGGTTCCTCAACTCTTTCATCGGAAGAAATGCCAGCATAGAGCAGGCTGGACATTCTCATCTTTCATTTTCCTTGCTTTTTCACAGATACACATCATTACTTAATGGGCTTTTGGTGATCAAGTTAATCAACTGGCACCCAGACAACACACCTGGATTGTCACATTCTGTCTGGATTCTGGCCTTTTCTGTAAGCCATTGGATAATTTTATTTTCATGGCCATATGGCCACAGAAAGGAATTCTATTACTATCTTGGGTTACCAAACAGAATTAATGTTGACATAAATAGTTTTATTTGGATGAGATTTTAAAATTAATGTCATTTGTAAATGCGTATGTGAAATACAATCTCCTTTGTCCTACATCACTTACGAAGTTAGTCGAGAAATTCATCCCTCGCATGAAATCACTTAGAAGGTGGAACTCACAACCTACTTACTACTGTACATGAGACCTCTCCAATTGTATTCCCCTCATGACTGTTATTAATCATGTACTGACAGGTTTCCAAGGAGCTGGGATAATAAAGAAAGAGAAAAAGAAAGAAAGAAAACAGAATAAACCCCTGTCCATGTTGGGGAGGTTGCGGACAAAAGGGTCTTTGTGAAAACCTCAAGACCACGTCATTTTCTCTTTACCAAAGCACTATATTGCTATTAATCGGTTGTTTTAGTTTGGAAACTTTCATGACAAATAGCAATGTGGAAAGCAGAAACGGAACACTGAAATTACCCTCATCCTTAACCATTCCCGAGAACACAAGAGATGTTCAAATGCCATCTTTGCACCATTGGGAACCCAAAGCTTCATCTCTCCTTTCACAGAATCACTATGGGGGGAGAGGCCCAAATTCTCTTTTACTGGAAGCCTGGCTGACATCATGGATTCTCTTTCCCTCCTTTAAAAAATAAATAAGAGACATATTCTTTTCACAGTTTAAAATACTATTGCATTGATCTTGTTGGTGCACAGAAAAAGTGTTCCTTTGAGCTGTGTTCTCTTCTAAGTTATCTGTTTCAAAGGGCTGCACTGTCTCGGCCTTCTACCCCTTCACCCAAGAGAACAGAAGCAGTTCTGTGGAAGAAGCCTCGACTTGGACAAACCGTAAACAAGCCAAGTCTCTCTCTGTGCTTATCTAATTTGATTGCTGCAGCTGTTCCCCGTTTCTGTATTTTAAAAATAGCCTTATTCAGCCCCTGGTTGGCTAAAGGCCAGAGCGCCATTAGAACAAGCTGTACGGAAAGCCTCTATTCAGTCACAGAAACAGAAATATACTTAAGAGCAACGGGGGTCATCTGCAGCAAACACTTGGAGGGGAGAATCGAGGCTTAATGTGCTTGGATGAATCCCTACTCTTAACAGGTATTTAGAAACTCTTCAGTGGACATACTTCTCCATTTTGTTTGTTTGTTTATTTATCTCAGATAACTAGGGAAAACAGATAAAAGCAGGAAATGAAGGGCAAATAATTTGAAATAAGGAAAAAAAAAAGGTCTAATTTTCAGCTAAAAGTTTGTATGACCCAGAAACATTCCAAAGAGCCCCTACTAGTGGTTTATATTCTGTTGATCATAGCAATCCACTTAGTTACTTAATTTTTGCATCAAGTGAGATAATATTGGTAGAAGGCTCAAAGTAGGTCATTACTTTTCTTTGTACAGGTCAACAATATAAGATTACCAAATAGAAAGGGAGCAGCCCAGAGAAGAAGAATTCTCACTTGGACTATTGTAATTAGATTTCCTACCAAAAGTCTTTCCGTATACCATTCCATTCCCCACACAATTGCTAAAGTGATTTTCCAAAGCATTGCTTTGACCATGTCACCTTGTCTACTCAATATAATCCACTGGCTCCCTATCAATACTAGGATCAAATGTTTACTTCTCCATTTGACATTTAAAGCTCCTTCCAACCTGTCTCTGACCTATCTGTAAGGTCTTTTGGTGACAATTCTTTCCCACACAATATATTCCATAGTCCAGGCTTACAGGCTTCCTTGCTGTTCCTCACACAAGACACTCCCCCATTCCTAGAACACTCTTCTCTCCCTTCTAAATCATCACTTTTAGAATCCCTGGCTCCCTTTGGGACTCTGTTCAAGTGCTATCTTCTGCACGAAGCTTTTGCAGGCTCCCATCGATGCTAGGGTATTTCTTTTTACAGCTACCTTTTATTAACTCTGTATTCATTCTGTATATACTGATCTATTTATATGTAGCCTTCCCTATTAGAATATAAGCTCCTCGATGGTCAAGACAGATTTTATTTTTGTCTTAACATGGTGACTAGTGTATCGCAAAGGGTGAATAAGTTTTTATTTATTGACTAATGATCTGTACTGTCAAAAACTTTTTGGATATTTGCTCTGTCAACCAATAGGCTAGCTTTCTTGCTTTGCATTATCTGGAAATGTCGGTGGGCGTGCCATTGATGATCTTATGCAAATTACTGATAAAAAAATGTTAAACAGAATAGGATCATGGATAGACCCATGGGACACTTCAGCAAAAACTTCCTTCCAAGCTGGCATGGAATCATCAACCCACAGTTTACCCATTCTTCTGGTTCCTAATTCAACAGATTAATAGTTTCTAGTCCATTTGGCTCCAAAGTTTCTCTAAGAAGAGCAGAAGTCCTTTACCAAGATCGATATAAACTGTAACTATGATATTCTCTGGATCTACCTTCCTGACAAGTCCTTTTAAAATGGGGGAAAGCATCTTTAATCTTTAATTAGTTAATTAATTATTTTGTGCATTTATGCATGTGCTTATTAATTAATTTATTGTTATGACTCTAGATTTACCTTTTGTGATTATATTTCCCTTGACATCCCTTTTGTCAATGATTATGATCTAAGTAGTAGAGGTGCTTCATCCAACAGTGTAGAGAGTAACTCATGTACTTCTTCTCCTTCAGTGCTACCTTTGCCGAGATCCCCCAGCACAGCCTCCCCAAGGGATCCCAATGGCTTTGAAAGCCCTTCATCACCTGGTTCCTTTCTGCTTTTCCAGTCTTCTCACACTTTACTCCTCTCCATGTACTCAGTGATCCAGTGACACTGACCTCTTGGCTGTCCTTCACATAAGCTCTTCTATCTGCAGACCCTGGGCCTTTGTACTGGCTGGAATTTTCCCTACTCCTTTTATCCTTCCTTCCTTCCTTCCTTCCTTCCTTCCTTCCTTC